TTGAATGACGTTGAATGTGAGATGAGAGAATTGGTTCTGAGCTAGATTGACGCTAGAGGCCAAAGGAGTGACGTCGAACGTGAGGAGAAAGAATTTTCTTGGATTGGAATCAAGTCGAGCACCAACGTAGTGATGTCGAACGTGTATCAACTCGAGGCCCTCTGCTTGGTTGGGATCAAGCATAGGCTTTTTTCACATCAAACATGAGGTCTCAGGAGTCTTTATCTAATCCACTCCTAATGCAGGTCGAAAGGTACCAGGCGTGGGTGAGGCAAAGAATCCTGCTTCATATGGCACCGAGTGTAGGTTGATCAATGCTAGGTGTGGGTTGCCTTATTTTAAATTGTTGTTTTATGATAAAATTGGTGAATGTGTATAGAATAGTTAGACTTATTACATATTGTATGATGATTGAGTTGTGTTGTATGTTGTATATTGATGTATGATGTTGAATCTCTATACATTGATCTAGGATAATATATAATTGATTTGATTGAGTTGAATTGCATGTTCTTTAGTTGAATGGTTGAAAGTTGAGCTAAGTTGTATGATGTTGGTGAGTAGCTATGTTGAGAATGCTTTGACATTAAAGTTGTACTACGTTGATCGACCCAAGATTATAAGAGAAGTTGTTTTAATTTTCACTATGAAGATATTGTGTTGTAGTGCTCCTATAGTCCAATTTATTGAAAACCCTTATTGGGAAATTAACTCTCAAAGTGGATAGTTAAGTCTCCATTAGGACCATGATGTAGTATATAGATCAATCAAGACATACTAGCTATAAGCGACCAATGTTGATGCGTATGTGAGTAAGGTTGAGGCTTACATGTATAAAACAACCAAAAATTTAGAGTAATATATAAGGTTGGGAGTTAAAATCTCCAACTAAGTACTGGAAGAGCGTAGTATTTGGAAGGTAGTTGACAAACTAATCTTATATGTAACCTAGTTGAGCTAGCTAATGCAATGGTAAACTCACACCCAAGTTATTTAACCCTGACAGAAGTACTAGATTTCTAGTTTAAGTAACAACATCTGAGAAACCATGTTGTTAGGGATTGTTATCCCAATTGGTTGTTGATCTAACTAGATTGAAAAGATCAGGTTGTTGGTTCGGTAGAAACAAGTCACTTAAACTTCTCACTTGTGTTGTAAAAGAATTCTTAGTTGAAAATTTGTGACAACATATATAATTGTTGTGTTGTGCAAGTGATGTGTTGATTAATTTGTATTGTTCATATGTGATGTTGTGTTACAAGTTAATAATATGTTGTATTGTGTTGAAAGGTTATACATTGATATTGCGTTGTAGAAAGTTGAGTTGTTTATATTGATTCTTTGAACTCTAGCTTATCCTTGCATATTTTCATATAGTTAAATTGTAATGGTCATACTTGATATAAGAGCAAAACATAAATAATTTATGGTTGGAGACCTTTGGAGGCCATATCTATTGGCAAAGCTGTTGATTTTGGAGTTACCTCTGTGTAGTCATTTTTTTGTTATTTTTAGTAGGTTTGACTGACTATTATGATTATTATCTTTCATTTGGATCATTATATAAATTTATATACTTGTATATAATTTTAGTTTCCCTAATTGTTGTTGAACGCTCTTACATGTATATATTTTATAGCATATTTTTTCAAATATGTTGTGAATAATAATTTTAGATAATTAATTGTGTATATAGGTCGTTACTAATTGTGAATCATTAAATGTAGAAACTTGACAGATTGATATACAATGTATCTTTATAAGATAAATTATCGTAAAATTAAAATAACATAAATATTACATGAATTTCGAAGAAATTAAAAGAGTATCAACATATTTTGTTGAAGAGAAATATTAATAATATATTTTTTATTATTTAAAATTTGTCAAAATATAAAATTTAATAAGTTTCATTTTATATTTAACCATATTTATTTATAAATTTATAATAGATTTTAATAATAAAAATATATTATAAAACTATGTTAGATTATAGGATGAACAACACCCAAGTCATTCATTTTAATCAACCCGGCCTGAAGTTATTTTCTCAAGTTTGAGTTTTAAAAATTAGAGTCATTATATTTTTAAAATAGATTAGATTATATTTTCAGTTGGCTCATCTACTTCAATGAAAAGTTTAATTTTTTTAAATATTATTAATAATAAATTATTTAATAGATAATATTGTATATATTATAATATTATATTTATAAAAATATTTATTTT